ACTAGATGATAACGATGCAGGCCAAGACTGTTTACTAGGTAAAGCTTGAAACACAACAATTTTATAAATTGTATTTTCCATGTCTTTCACTAATTTTACAATGTTTGCTTTAGACTGCCCAAGTCAATGTGAATGCAGAAACTTGCCTGATGGAAGAATAGGTGTCTTAGGGAAATATCTTAAAGCAGTTCCTGGTCGACTTCCTCGTCAAACATCTGCCATGTAAAGAAAATATATTACACTGATATACATTGATCGTCCTGTTAACTACTTTCTTTAATAACGATTTTATGGTACAAACTTTACCACAATCATATTCATAATTATTCTAATTCTTTTATTATGTATCAATTCTTTGATCTTTCAGATTTTTTTCTGGGAACAGTATTTATCATTTGAAAAGCAAGGCCTTCAAGAATCTTACGCAGTTGTCTTTGATGTATGCTGCCATTTTTAGTCACGAGCTATGGAAATTCGACATACATAACACATACAGTGAAATTAGCCCATGCATTCATTTATATTTCACAGTGGTCCAACTGTCAGTTAGCTATATATAAACCGTAATAATCTACATTTTATTGATAAAAATTGTTCTTTGATTTTATGTTTAAGAGATTTGAGTTACAACAGGATAATTCGCATGGATGAAAAAGCGTTTTTTACATTACCATCACTTAGTATTTTGTAAGTGAAGTGAGATGATACAATTTATCATTTTTTATTTACGATGCCTTCTGTCTCATTGTCTGAATACATTCTMCGGCAGGCGGTTGAAAATGAATTTCATCAAAGACATTGTAAACGAGTCATGGAGTAAAGTCCAAACATTGCAAAAACTGTGAGTAAAAACAAAATAATCAGGGTGTTTGATTCAATGTCTTTTTTCTCAGTTAGCCTTTTCCATGTTAGGAATGCAACTGACTAGCTTTTTGCATTGCGTTCCTGTGTACACTGACTTCAAAATGGCTGGCAAATATTATAATATTATACTTTGAAATAATGCATTTCATACAGCATGCAGTGATCAAATAATMATGCAATTTACGCACGATCGATTATTTAACTGAAATATAAGCTGCTTGTGTCCAAAATGTCAACTAATCTATAAGCAAAATTTGATGTGTTTGCGTCAATAAGTTATGTGCTTTATTTAGGGATATCGGCCACAATTTGATATCTGCTATTGGAAAAAGAAYGTTCTTGGGCCTTTGGCAACTAAAAACATTGTAAGTTTCTGGTTATTCGCCTTTATATATCTTTATTGTCAAATTGACTGACACATGCCTATCTTTTATCATTTTCATTAAAGAATGTTTTTTTGATTTTCAGAAATCTCCGTGAAAACTTGATCAGCATCATTCATCAAGATGCTTTTGAGAACAACACAAAATTGACCTCTCTGTGAGTAATTTTATCATCATCAGCAGAAAACGTAGTAGGAGGAGCCGGCGGGGTCTGTTCTTCTAAATAACTGTTCTTGTACAAATTTTTTCCAGGGAAAGGGATTTTGAGCTGCATTGTTGACAATCTCACAAGCAAATGTGGTGCCCTTTCTAATTTTTTTAAATAATTTTGTTCTTGGCAAACGTTTTTTAGGTCAAAAAAGGCTTATCTAACGTTTTTTAGTCAAAAACGGCTTATATTTTTTTAGTTAATAATTTTTTATTTTCCTGGCAGAAATTCTCATATGGTGCTTGTTATATCCTTCGCTGTCGTCCATTCTTCTCTTGGTACGGCGTCTAACGTTCTTATGTCCGCTGCGCTTTATAATGTTAAGTCCTCTAGTTCTGGCGTTCTGGCCTACCACCGTGCTAGCCGAACGACTTTATCATACTGCAGTAGCGCACAAATGTTATGTCGTACTAGCGTACTGGCGTACTAGCGTTCTATTGTCAGCAACAGCATACTAGAGTACTATCGTTCCCTCTTTCTAATGTTCTTCCTTACTAAGCGTTCTATCGCACTAGTGCACGCGAGCGTTATGTCGTACTAGCGTATAAGCGGACTAGTATATTAACCCTCTAACGTTCCAGGGTACTGAAGTACTAGTGTACTAGTGTACTGTTGTATTAGCATACCAGCGTTCCAGTGTACTAGCGTACCATGGCCAGTGTACTATTGTACCAGTGTACTATTGTACTAGCGTACTATACTAATGTAATATCGTACTAGTGCACTATCGTACCAGTGTACTATCGTACCAGTGTACTATTGTACTAGCGTACTAGCGTACCAGTGTACTATCGTACCAGTGTACTATCGTACTAGCGTACTAGCGTACCAGTGTACTATCGTACCAGTGTACTATTGTACTAGCGTACTAGCGTACCAGTGTACTATCGTACCAGTGTACTATCGTACTAGCGTACTAGCGTACCAGTGTACTATCGTACCAGTGTACTATTGTACTAGCGTACTAGCGTACCAGTGTACTATCGTACCAGTGTACTATCGTACTAGCGTACTAGCGTACCAGTGTACTATCGTACCAGTGTACTATTGTACTAGCGTACTAGCGTACCAGTGTACTATCGTACCAGTGTACTATCGTACTAGCGTACTAGCGTACCAGTGTACTATCGTACCAGTGTACTATTGTACTAGCGTACTAGCGTACCAGTGTACTATCGTACCAGTGTACTATCGTACTAGCGTACTAGCGTACCAGTGTACTATCGTACCAGTGTACTATTGTACTAGCGTACTAGCGTACCAGTGTACTATCGTACCAGTGTACTATCGTACTAGCGTACTAGCGTACCAGTGTACTATCGTACCAGTGTACTATTGTACTAGCGTACTAGCGTACCAGTGTACTATCGTACCAGTGTACTATCGTACTAGCGTACTAGCGTACCAGTGTACTATCGTACCAGTGTACTATTGTACTAGCGTACTAGCGTACCAGTGTACTATCGTACCAGTGTACTATCGTACTAGCGTACTAGCGTACCAGTGTACTATCGTACCAGTGTACTATTGTACTAGCGTACTAGCGTACCAGTGTACTATCGTACCAGTGTACTATCGTACTAGCGTACTAGCGTACCAGTGTACTATCGTACCAGTGTACTATTGTACTAGCGTACTAGCGTACCAGTGTACTATCGTACCAGTGTACTATCGTACTAGCGTACTAGCGTACCAGTGTACTATCGTACCAGTGTACTATTGTACTAGCGTACTAGCGTACCAGTGTACTATCGTACCAGTGTACTATCGTACTAGCGTACTAGCGTACCAGTGTACTATCGTACCAGTGTACTATTGTACTAGCGTACTAGCGTACCAGTGTACTATCGTACCAGTGTACTATCGTACTAGCGTACTAGCGTACCAGTGTACTATCGTACCAGTGTACTATTGTACTAGCGTACTAGCGTACCAGTGTACTATCGTACCAGTGTACTATCGTACTAGCGTACTAGCGTACCAGTGTACTATCGTACCAGTGTACTATTGTACTAGCGTACTAGCGTACCAGTGTACTATCGTACCAGTGTACTATCGTACTAGCGTACTAGCGTACCAGTGTACTATCGTACCAGTGTACTATTGTACTAGCGTACTAGCGTACCAGTGTACTATCGTACCAGTGTACTATCGTACTAGCGTACTAGCGTACCAGTGTACTATCGTACCAGTGTACTATTGTACTAGCGTACTAGCGTACCAGTGTACTATCGTACCAGTGTACTATCGTACTAGCGTACTAGCGTACCAGTGTACTATCGTACCAGTGTACTATTGTACTAGCGTACTAGCGTACCAGTGTACTATCGTACCAGTGTACTATCGTACTAGCGTACTAGCGTACCAGTGTACTATCGTACCAGTGTACTATTGTACTAGCGTACTAGCGTACCAGTGTACTATCGTACCAGTGTACTATCGTACTAGCGTACTAGCGTACCAGTGTACTATCGTACCAGTGTACTATTGTACTAGCGTACTAGCGTACCAGTGTACTATCGTACCAGTGTACTATCGTACTAGCGTACTAGCGTACCAGTGTACTATCGTACCAGTGTA